GTTCAAGCTGGATTTAGAAAAGGCAGAGGAACCAGAGATCAAATTGCCAACATCTGCTGGATCATCAAAAAGCAAGACAGTTCCAGAAAACATCTATTTCTGCTTTATTGACTATGCCAAAGCCTTTGACTGTGTGGACCACAACAAACTGGAAAATTCTGAAAGAGATGGGAATACCAGACCACCTGACCTGCCTCTTGAGAAACCTATATGCAGGTCAGGAAGCAACAGTTAGAAATGGACATGGAACAACAGACTGGTTCCAAATAGGGAAAGGAGTACATCAAGGCTGTATATTGTCACCCTGATTATTTAACTTATATGCAGAGTACATCATGAGAAAGGTTGGGCTGGATGAAGCACAAGCTGGAATCAAGATTGCCAGGAGAAATATCAATAACCTCAGATACGCACATGACACCACCCTTATGGCAGAAAGTGAAGAAGAACTAAAGAGCCTCTTGATGAAAGTGAAAGGGGAGAGTGAAAAAGTTGGCTTAAAGCCCAACATTCAGAAAACTAAGATCATGGCATCTAGTCCCATTACTTCATGGCAAATAGATGGAGAAACAGGGGAAACAGTGGCTGTCTTTATTTTTTGGGGCTCCAAAATCACTGCAGATGGTGAGTGCAGCCATGAAATTAAAAGATGCTTACTCCTTAGAAGAAAAATTATGACCAATCTAGACAGCATATTAGCATATTAAAAAGCAGAGACATTACTTTGCCAACAAAGGTCCGTCCAGTCAAGGCTACGGTTTATCCAGTAGTCGTGTATGGATGTGAGAGGTGGACTATAAAGAAAGCTGAGTGCCATAGAATTGATGCTTTTGAACTCTGGTGTTGGAGAAGACTCTTGAGAGTCCCTTGGACTGCAAGGAGATCTAACCAGTCAATCCTCAAGGAAATCAGTCCTGAACATTCATTGGAAGGACTGATGCTGAAGCTGAAACTCCAATACTTTGGCCCTCTGATGCCAAGAACTGACTCATTGGAAAAGACCCTGATGCTGGGAAAGATTGAAGGCAGGAGGAGAATGGGACAACAGAGGATGAGATGGTTGGATGGCATCACCTACTCAATGGACATGAGTTTGAGTAAACTCCGGGAATTGGTGATGGACAGGGAGGTCTGGCATGCTGCAGTCCATGGGGTCACAGAATCAGATACAACTGGGCAACTGAACTGAACTGACATGTCTTTTACTCTATGGCTTCCCCCTTTCATTCCTTTCTGTTAGCTCTCTTTTCATAATGCCCTATTGTTTAGTTTTCTCTTTTCTTAACTGTCCAACCCTGATGTATACAGTTCTAACTTCTATCGTTTTATTAACTTCCTTTAGCTTCTGTTGGCATATTAATAAAGTTTCATCTCCTTTGGGAGCCTCTTTTTCTGGTATGACTTTATTATCTGTAACTTTATTATTCAGAGGGGTTATCCCCTTTTTCTTCTGTTTATGTGAAATTCAACCTCAATCCATTTCTGCTGCTCACAGTGAGTGAGGTGGGTAGAAGCCCAGAACAGCTTTCCTAGTCTCATGGCTCTATGCCTCCCTCTTCTGGTTTTACACTGAAATATTTAAAAATATGGCCTCTCGGTGCAGCCACCTCCTCAATACAGCCACCTCCTCAATCTGAGATCTACTTCCTCTGGTCTCCTTCACCGTTAAAATCTGACTTTTCTTTCTCCTCTAATGCCCTCTCAATCAAGGTCAGTGGTCCGAGCAGGTCATTTTTATGGAGTAGCTATGTTGTTGCAGAGAGATCTTCCACAAGGGATTTCCTAAGAGCCCTGAGGACCCAGGTCCCTCCAGCAGCCTCACACCTTCTCCAGTCTCCTTGCCCTCACCCACAAATGGGAGCCTGAGAGGCATCCTCCCAATATTAACTATTGTTAACTGACAGAACCATAAAATTCTTGACTCCCAGTGGGGACCCGTTCTTTTGAGTGTGTATACTTGCAGGATATTTCTGGGTGCCCTGACAATCAAAACAACCAGCAGTTCCCTCTTCCCTTTGCTTCCTCCTGCATAACTGCTGTTCTTATCCCAAAGTCTCACTGCTGTGGGTAGTTTGACCCACCAGTTGATATCAGGGGATTCATCAAGATACTCTGTCAGCTAGTTCAGTCTGTTTTCTCTTTTGCTGTCCTGCTTGCTCTATTTTTGATAGAGATTAAGGGAGATTCCCAATCTACCCCTCATTGTGCCTTTCTTTACAAAAAATTTAATTCATTTATTTGAAAGTAAGCAAAAAATAATTTGGATTTGAAAAATGTCAACTATATCACAAGGCAGATCCAGATAATCATAAATCTAGGCAATAAAATCACTACTGTAAGCATTCAGATGCGAACCAGACATCAACATGGGGCATCACCAGCAGGCCTACTTTCTAAAAGACAGACATGTAATCTCTTCATAATACATCTTCAAGACACAAGGTCAATCTCTTTCTTCCACCCCTAAAAACAGTTAAGCAAGTTACACAACCAGAAAAATCTTTAGGGATTAGGCTAAAAAAGTTCTTGTTTTGTGGATTATTTATTACATGAACAATATGTATGTCTCCTTACATAAGACCTGTGAAGGTTAATTTTATTTGTGAACTTGACTGGGCCATGGGGTGCCCAGATATTTGATTAAACACTATTGTAGATGTATCTGAGGTTTTGGATGAGATTAACATTTGAATCAGTAGACTGAGTAAAGCAGATGGCCCTCCACAATGAGGGTGGGACTCATTGAATTGGTTGAAGATTTCACTGCAGATCTTGGGACCTCTACAGTTTCCATAATCACATGAGCCAAGGCCTTATAATTAATTAATATCTTGTTCCCTCTCCTCCTCCCTGCTATGTACACACACACACATATCTATTTATTTTGTTTCTTTGAAAAACCCTAATACAAAATTGTTACTCTAGTTTATTATTATATAACATAAAAACTGTCTTGTTTTGAACCCAATGTTGAAGAAAAATTATCATAACAACAACAATAATTAAGGTCTTACCAGGAAGCAGGCACTATGATAAACATTTTACAATCTTGTTTAGTCCTCATGAAAACCCTAAGTGGGTAGTATTATCATATCCCCCAATTTAGAGATGAGAAAACAGGCCCTGTGTGATGGGCTGTTTTCCTGCTGCAGTATCAAACTTCTCAAAATCTCAGTGGTTGGACCTGACTGAAGTTTTATTGATTACTCATACAGTATACCTACTGGGAGTTGGCACCAGAGGCCTCTGTTCACAGCAGTCAGTCACTCACTCACTCAGGAACTGAAGACTGGTGTCGGTTAATCTCAGTGAGCAGAGCATAGGGCTGGCAGCCCAGGAAACCTGGGTCCCAGGACTTTATCAACAAGGGTTCTGGCAAGAACTAGATGAGCAATTTGAGGAGTGTTTAAAAAGGGATTATTTATAAAAGTGTAGAGAGAGTACAGGGCTTCCCTGGTGGCTCAGATGGTAAAGAATCTGGCTGCAATACAAGAGACCCGGGTTCAATCCCTGCAGTGGGAAGATCCCCTGGAGAAGATCCCCACTATTCTTGCTTGGAAAATTCCATGGATGGAGGAGCCTGGCAGGCTACAATCCATGGGGTCACAAAGAGTCGGACACAATGACTAAGCACAAGCACATAGAGTGTATGGGAGAGGGGGAGGGCAGTTACCTGCAGCCGAAAACAGAGAGCTTTTATGCCATCCCTGGGCCCAAAGGAGTGACTGTCAGAACCAGGAGCTCTGTGGAGAGGGTCACTCAAACAGGAGCTGTGACCTCTGATCAGGGACACAGGCAACTCACAGGGACGCTGTATGTCTACCCCTATTTCAGTCTCTTACTGGTGCTGTCCCATGGACAAATCCAATAGGAAAGTAGAAGGCATAGGAACCTTTGAAATCTTCTGTACAAGTCAGCCTCCCAGTGCCAAGAAGAGAGTGGAGAAGGATGGTGTGTAAACCTGGAGGGGCAACTAGAAGCCATCCAACAATGCACAGCAAAGTTCAAAGACTTAATAAAGTGAAGGCTTGAGCTACATAATTTTCAAAAGCCCTTTTGACTTTTAAACACGATTTTCCTAAAATACTATTGTGAAAGTGAAAGTCGCTCAGTCATGTCTGACTCTTTGCGACTCCATGGACTATACAGTCCATGGAATTCTCCAAGCCAGAATACTGGAGTGGGTAGCCTTTCCCTTCTCCAGGGAATTTTCCCAACCCAGGGATCGAACCCAGGTCTCCTGCATTGCAGGCAGATTCTTTTCCAGCTGAGCCACAAGGGAAGTCCAAAATACTATTGCACCAATAGTAAAAATATAATGTACAGTTAGCTCATTCATCTATGATGATAAATACTAGCTTTATAATTAATTTTAATAATTAACACTTTGCACTGGTCTAAACTTGGCTGTTCTGATTTTCAATCTCTCATTCTCCCTGCCCATCACCTTAGAAAGCAAGGCAAGAAGTCTGCCATGGCCCTCCTGGGTAACCCTGTATCCGACCAAGATGAGGACTACAGGTGTGGACAATCAGGTACTGGCGGTGGGGGGCGGGGGTGGAGATAGGCAGGGGATGACAGACTAGGCAAGTGACTTCTAAAGGCAGGGAGTAAACAGGCTGCTCCCCTCACAGCTCAACCCTTGGAATCAAAGAGAACAGGGTCACAACAGCCGTTTCCAATTGGACATGGACTGAGAAATTACAATTCACTGATTGAAGACTGCTGTTACAGGTATCTTAAAAATGTGGGGAAAATAAAAGAATAACAGAAAGAGAAAGAAAGAAAAATATCAAGAACCTGACTTTGTCCATTCAATTAACTTTTCCTGAACATTAAAAAGGGAAAGGCAGGCCCTTCTTAGAAAAGCCATCTAAGTCCATTAGACCACTTGACTTACTGGTCTCCTCCTCTACTTTTATGAAAGTTAATGATTGCTCTGAGCTTTTTAAGATTTAAATAATGGAACATCATGGCAATAAGACCAAATATGCAAATACCTGGGTCAGTAGCAGAGATAATTGCTCCAAAAAAGAGACAATCCGTGTAGTAAAATTTATCCGAGAGCTGCCCCACAATCTTCATGAGCTTCACCACACCATACATGAGATTTCTATAACAAGAAAAGGTAAACTGTGTCAGAAGAAAAAGATAGAAAAGAAAACCCACCTACTCGAATAAGCTGGCAAATACACAAGCAGAGGAATACTAGAATATTGCACTTCCAAAGAGGTCTGTGGAAACATCAGGCAGCTGCTGTGTTTGGACACTAACCAGGAACATGTGCAAACAAGACTTTGGCACCAAGTAATGGTCTGCAGTTACTGTCATCTTCCTGAGGTATATTGAGCATTCCATATTTTTAAATTGTACTTACAACTATAAAGTTCGATCCTCAACTAGCAACAGTTAGGGCATTTTAAGCAACTAGGTAGTAGGGAAGAAAGGAAGAGAAAGAACCCTGCAAAATGGGTAATAAATTGCTACAAAACTCCCAGGATTCTAAGAGAGTGCATTTAAAGTCATGGAAATGAATGGACTGGATCAAGGTGGAGAGAAAAAAAATGGGATGGCCACAAGGATCCAAGTGGTCAACCTTCTCTGCCAATAATTACTACAAAAAAGGGAAAAGAGGCAAAACTCTGTAAAATCTTCCATTAAAATATCAGTGTACCCACTGACATATCTGGCTTCTCACTCTTTGCATGGCTTAGACAGGTTAGCAGCAGCCTTCCTTACCCACTGTGCAGAATATGATATGGCCCAAGAAGGACCATCAAGTTAATACTTCACCTTGAGCAGATCACATTTCCTACAGGACAGCTCACAAATTAGGGGGAGTGAGGAGTGTTAAAATGCCTAGTACTTGTTATTAAAGGTGTGTGTGTGTGTGTGTGTGTGTGTGTGTTGGCAGCAGCTGTAGGGATTAGGGGAATACAAACAACCACAGAATAAAGAGAAATTAAGAAAACAATCCCATTTACAATGGCATCAAAAAGATTACAACACTTAGGAATAGATTTAACCAAAAATAAATAGGCACAGTATAGACTCATTGTACCCTGTAGCCAATCTCCAGTAAAAAGATTCTTAATAGTCAAGACCATATCATTGCTCATCTTTGTACCGTGGGTGTCTAGAACAGTAGATTGATTATCTAGGAGCTCAAGAACTTTTTGCAGAGTTGAATCCTTTTGAGAATAAATAGTTATAATTTCAAGTTCTGCCTACTGTGTGCTGGACATCGTTCCAGACACTTGAACAGTTATATTTCAATTCACAGGAACTCTATGATACCCTGGAGGAGGAAATGGCAACACATTCCATTATTCTTGCCTAGATAATCCCATGGACAGAGCTGCCTGGTGGGCTACAGTCTGTGGAGTCACAAAGAGTTGGACACGACTAAGCTACTGAACACTATGGTATAGATTTGATTTGCTATTTGTTGCTTATCCAAGGCTTCTTTCATCTACCTTTTAAGTATTTCTTAAAACTAGACCTTCCTCTACATTTCCTTCTATCTACCATAAGCTTAGACCTGAGCAATAGACTTCTCTCTGGCAGCGTTTTCCCCATCATCATCAATGCCAGTATCCTGTCACTCTCTTACAGGACAAAGTCCAAGCCCCTCATTTTTTGGTGGCATAAAAGGCTCCAGCTTTTATCTCTAGCTTTCCAGATAATTTTTTAAAATTAACTAAAGTCCACAGTTCATTCAGGTTTCCTTAGTTTTTACCTAATAGCCCTTTTCTGTTCCAAGATTCTATCCAGGATACCACATTACATTTAGTCATCATATCTCTTCTGTCTCCTCTTGGTGTGACAGTTTCTCAGACTCTGTTTTTGATGACCCTGGCAGCTGGGAGGAGTACTAGTCAGGTATTTTGTAGAATCTGAGACCTGTCTGATTTTTTTGCTCATGATTAGACTAAGGTACTTTGATTTTAGGAGGAAGACACAGTGGTAAATGCCATTCATACCACAAATATCAAAGGGACCGAGTATCGACATGATTTACCAATTTGGGTGTTAATCCTGATCACCTGGCTGAGGTGGTATTTGTCAGGTTTCTCCACTGTAAAGCTACTTCTTTCTTTGCATGCTGTACTCTTTGTAAGGAAGTCACTATGCCCACAGTCAAACAGGGGAAGGGCCAAGCTTCATCTCCTTGAAGAGGACTAGATCTGCACGAATTACTTGGAATTCTTCTAACAGATATGTCACTTCTCCCCCATTTATTTATTCATCCAATCATTTATTTATATCAGTATGTGTGTGTCAGTCGCTCAGTCGTGTCCAATTCTTTGCAACCCCATGGACTGTAGCCCACTAGGTTCCTCTGTTCATGGAACTCTCCAGGTAAGAACAGTGGAGTGAGTAGCCATTCCCTTCTCCAGGGGATCATTCCGACCCAGAGATTGAACCTGCTACAGGCAGATTCTTTACCATCTGAGCCACCAGGAAGCCCTTTATATAAATATAGATGCAAAGATTCTTGTTTTACACTTTGAATGGTAATGCAAAACAATGTAATTTATTTTGTTGTTCTTTAGTCATTAGGGGGTGGTTTCAGATTGGCTCTCTGTCCTTTTGACATGCTTTGGTATCCCTTTGTTTGCTTGTTTCTGAGCACTTCCTTACTCTCTGGCACTACAAGATGCTCCATCGTCATCCTGCATATTTGCTATCCCAGCCTAGAATCAGCCATTTCTGCAAAGGGCCTTGGCTTTTCACATTGAAGAATGATATTAGAAACCAAGATCCCAGGACTAGGTTTTATTTTATTTCATGTTAATTAATCTTAACTTCAATTTAAATAGTCACATGTGGCTAGTGCTTCCTTGATGGCTCAAGCAGTAAAGAATCTGCCAGCAATGCAGGAAACACAGGAGACATGGGTTTGATCCTTGGGTGGGGAAGATCCCCTGGAGGAGGAAATGGCAACTTACTCCAGTATTATTGCTTGGGAAATCCCATGGACAGAGGAGCCTGGTGGGCTACAGTCCACACAGTCACACAGAGTCAGACACACCTGAGCATGCATGTGCACACAATGTGGCTAAAAGCTACCACACTGGCTGATGTAACTCTAAATCTTAATTAAAGACCCAGAGGGATTGGGTAGAGAGGGAGGTGGGAGGGGGGATCAGGATGGGGAATATATGTAAATCCATGGCTGATTCATGTCAATGTATGACAAAAACCACTACAATATTGTATCATAATTAGCCTCCAACTAATAAAAATAAATGAAAAAAAAATCTTAATTATAATCATCATAAACATCACAATATTGGACTCTGGTAGTTGCCAGGGACTTGGGGGCAGGGGAAATGGGTAGGTGTTGCTCAAAGGGTACAAACTTCCAGTGATAAGATTAACAAGTTTGGGAATCTAATGTACAACATAAGATCACAGCTAATGATACTGCATCATATACTTAATTAAATGTTGCTAACATGTTCTCACCACAAAAAAGAAATGGTAACCATGTGACCAGATGAAGGTGGAAGCTAAGACTCCAGTGGTAATCTTTGGCAATTTTCATATGCGTCAAATTAACACACTGTATACCTTATACTTACACAATGTTATGTGTCAATTATAGCTCAATAAAGCTGGGGGAAAATATTTGATTCTGTGGACCCATGTGGATCTCATCTCTTTGGAAGTGTGGTAATTCGGTTATATGACAAAGCATTCACTTACCCAATAATGAAGCAGGAAACGGCAGTCCCCAAGAAGGCATAGGCCAGAATAGACCCAAGATTTCTGAAAAAGTGTCTCTGAATAAAACAAAAAAGCAGGAACCACACTGTGAATTTTGACAGTGAACATTAGAAACACCAAAGTCTCTAAAAAGTGAAACTTTACTTACTGCTTTCATCAAATCAAGTAACAACTGAAGTTACTCCTGAAAAATGCAATTAGTCTTAGAACATCATGATTTTAAGGTGTTCTTTGTCCTACCAATCACTGAGCAAGCAAGCAAGGCTTTAGTATATTTCAGAAAAAACTACTCTGGCTGATTGTATTAAATCACAGTGTGTGTGTGTGTGTGTGTGTGTGTGTGTGTGTGTCAGAAAGAGAGAGAGACAGTAGACTGAACATTTACACAGATTTAACCCAAACCATTTAATCCTAGTGATTAAACTAATCACTTCCAGTTCTGGTGGTACTCAGAAGAACATTACAGATACAAGTTTGAAACTAATAAGCTATGAAAGTGCAAAGAAGTTTTCAGCTTAACTCAGCATCGAGGGGTCTCCTGATATTCATGTGAATTAATCTCTGGAGCCTGGGAAAGAGGGACAGTAGAGACAGATATGGAGAAACAAGAAACAGGTAGTTTCATCTAAAATGGGCGAATTTATAAGGGTGTACACACACGCACATGCACGGATTTACTTCTCATAAATCATCAGGCCTGTGGATATTATGATGGGGAAAAATCCCATTCGTGGGACCCTGAGCCACGATCCTTATTTTTCAAGGCATAAAGCTGTTCTCCTTGGACAATCAGAACTATGTAACAAAAATGGTACAAGAAATATCTCCTAAATACTCTCATCAAACAGGAATCAGGAATATTTCATCTAAAAATTTTAAAAAGCAGGAGAGCCCCAGCATGTGAGCTGTGCGCCACCAGGGAAATAGAAGGCACAAGAAGAACTTGGCCTGGATCAAGCAGCCATCATGAAGTCTGACTAGACAAAGGGTTGTGGGCATTCACTGGCCTGCATTTCAGACAGAGGATCTAAGACCTTGGCTTCAGTCTTCCCCAGCCTCTCTGAGGCTGTAAAGAAGGCATCAAGGAATCCCTCGTGCCCATATACCATCTTCTCAGAAGAAAATCCTTCAAAAGCTTCCCACACTAAGTCACCAAATGAAGGCACTGCCTGCACATATTATACACATATTATGTTTGCCTCCTATATCAGTCATTGTCCTCAGTCTTTATCTTTTTAATGCTAATGCATTAACATGCCACTGTTTTGGAAAACAGTTTGATTTCCAAAAAAAAAAATTCAAAAACTATGAGCCTTTAAAAGTTTCATCAAGTGCTTAAACCAGAGAGGGAATATATCAAGGAGAAGACATGAGACCAATGAAACCAATGCAGAGTACCCATGAGCAAAATTTTAATCCTAGATATGCTTTCCCTTGCCACTTGGCTTTCTTCTGGTAATCATTCCCATGGTTGGTTTGAATATGTTAAGTACATCTGTATTCATGTTATTAGCCAAAGCAGAAAATTAGAAATGTAAATCCACTATCAAAAATGCATTCATGATATATTCTAACATCACCACACACCATACACACAAATTACCTATCCCCAATCATATCAGCTGATGTGAATTGGAATTTTAATTTACTTTAAAAAGGTGTAACATGCCACTTATTTGTATATTATTACACTTAGTACTCAACTACATACTTCATACTTTACAAAGTACTTTCACATACATTAGCTCATCCAATTCTCACAACAATCCCATCATGAAAGTGTTCCTTGGACCATTTTATGAGAGACATCTAAGGCTCAAAAGTGGGATCTGAGTTGCCTGAAGTCACATGTCCACCACACTGAAGCACCTGAACTGGAAACCAGTCTGCTGATCCCAGGGCATTGTACCACATCCTTTTAGGGAGGAAGAACAGGAGGTGTCTCATGGAATCCTATATCTTTCATCTTCTAATTTGGCCTTAACAGTTCACGGTCACATGTGGGTCACAGAAACATGACTGGTTTAGTCTCTCCCTTACTTTTCTCTTTCCATTATAGAATGGCAAAAAGAAATAAAAGGAGATGGCATGCCCTGGTAATGCCATTAAGAATATAAACCTAAAACAGACCAAGATTTTCAATGAAAATCTACCTTGGAATCCCAATTCTTAGTTGTACCATTTTAAGTCTTATGTTCCTACTCCTTGGGAAACCTTATCACCTTCCATTCCCCTGAAAAATTTTAACATGATGTGTGTGTGTTTGCTGGGGGAAATTCACAAAACATGAAAGCCTCTACAGGCAAATTCTTTCCCTGTTAATACCCTGTAACCAAACTGAATGGTAGCACAAAATCAAAGCTAAGGCCATAGTACTTTTTTCAAGTTAGAAAAAGAAAGGCCTGCGTCTTAATGACAACTACATGTACATAGGTCAAGGGGTATGAATCTGTTTACATATCAGCAGTCGACTGGTAAAACACTTATTACACATTTTAACTGAAAACATTTAATCAGAGATGGCAACTACCTAAGAACCAACTATTTACGTGCCTGATCAAAAAGGAAGAGACTAAACTAATAGCTAATAATAACCTTTAAAACTAGCATTTCAAAAACAACTTAAATTGGTAACTGGTAAAGCCTATTATTTGTTTTGTTCTTCTGAAAAAATGAAGCTGACAAAGAAAAGGTTATGCAAACACTAAGGTGGTTTTTTTCAGCCATTACAGTGGCTTTAACAATAAATGATTTGGTTTCATTTTCAAGCAACTATAACCTTGATTATATATTAAGATAAGTTATTTAAAATACCAAATTCTTCATCACCCATTTGATATGAAGAGTGGTTCCCAAATTCTTCATTTAAATAAAGAATAACATCATTTATATCTGTAAGATCATCTATTCGTTACATGTCAACAGCTGACATACAGATTCTGGTTACTTTGGCAACCTCATAAATTACTCAGAAAATGGATACTTTAAAAAAGTTTTATTTTTTTATTTATGGCTCTGCAGGGTCTTTGTTGCTGTGAGGGCATTTCTCTAGTTGTGGTGAACAGGGGCTACTCTCTAGTTGCAGTACATGGGCTTCTCATTGTGGTGGCTTCTCTTGTTGTAGAGCATGGGCTCTAGGGTATCGGGGCTTCAGCAGTTGAGGGATGAAGGCTCAGTATTTGTGGCTCCATGGCCCTAGAACATGGGTTCAATAGTTGTGATGTACAGGTTTAGTTGCTCTGCAGCATGTGGGATCTTCCTGGATCAAGGATCAAACCTGTGTCTCTTGCATTGGCAAGTAGATTCTTTACCACTGAGCCACCAAGGAAGCCCAAAGATACATTTTTTGTACAGAAAACTTAAATCTAGAGACAATGTAACTCAGAGGGACATGAACAATCCTAGTCCCTCCAGTCAGACAGACAGGTTATAACCTTGACTCAGTCCTCAACCATCTACATAACCTCACATGTCACTTGAGTTTGACATCCTCATCAGTATTAATTAAATACAGGATATTCTCTACATGTCTGTGAGTGTACATTTGTGCTGGGCTGCTGTGCAGAAATACAGCCATCCATTGTGGAAAGGGAACTTAAGTTCTATCCCTTCTCCCTGAAGACGATGCAGTAAGGAAGAACCATGTGACCTATAAAGGGAGAGATGGGCTTTACCCTGACTTGCAGCCTTGACCCTCTTATAAAAAGTGGGGGAGCACTATTGCTCCCATAGTCTCTATGCTATGAGCAACAGAGGCAGCGTTTGGCAGGCCCAGCAATTCCTAGGATTTTTCCATTTCAGCCTCCCCACCTGTGACTATGACCAACCTGATGGCCAAAGGGCATGTGTCTTCAATTTATGAGGTTAGTAATAAGAAGCCACATTACCAAGGGCTAACCTTTATCATTTAACATGTACTACCAGGAACTTTGGGTCATAAATTGATCATTCAGTTGCCAATTAGCTCCCTGTGTCTGTTTATAAATAAGTTGGAAACCTGGGGGAGAAAGGGTATGAGGTAATCTACCACCCTTACATTCTTACAGTTTCTATGATGATTAGAAATAATGTATGTAAAAACAGAAGTAAAGGATATATGCAAAATTCCTTATATCAGATGCTCCATAAATAACTGTATTTGTGTGGGTTGGAAATAGTTTAAAAACCTTTTGACAATTGCAGAGTTGCTTTGACAGAACTGGCCTAATGGGGAGGCACTTTCTCATAAAATCAGTTGGGATTATCTCCCCCTCTATGTTCTGAAAGATTTTGTGTAGGATTGGTATTATTTCTTTTTTAAATGCTAAATAGAATTCACCAAAGAAGCCATCTGAGCTTGTACAAAGACTTTTAATTATGAATGCAATTTATTTCATTAATATAGGACTGTTCAAGTTTTCCATCTCTTCTTGGGTCAGTTTTGGTAATTTGTACCTTTCAAGAGATTTGTCCATTTGTCCATTTTACCTGGGTTGTCAAATTTATTTGTACAAAGTTGTTCATATTACACTCTTATTGTCCTCTTAATGTGTAAAGGGTCTATAGCAATGTCACCTCTTTCATTCTTGATATAAGTAATTTGTTCCTTTCCTCTCTTATTTTTAACCTTGATTGATCTATCTAGAGATTTATCAACTTGGAAGGCATTCTCTACTTCCTAAGGATGTTATTGAGCTTTATCGGCAGTCAACATCTCTCATTTCTAGGCTCACTGAAAAGGTTTCCTTTAGTCCCCTCTCAAAAAGACAGCTAAAACAAGTTCCTTGGCCTGTTATCTGAAGTAGGCCTTTTAGGAAACTAAATTTTAGTCCCACAGTGGGGGAGAAAGGCAGCCACTAACACTATTTATAAAGGTATTTAGTATTTTAAACATTTAGAGGCTTAGACCCAATCTTGCTGCTGAGCACAATGACCCTCCCTCAAAAATGACAGATTTTTTAAAAGTTTTTACTTCTGTTTTTTCTAATTTTTGGCCACACCCTCTAGCATGTGGGACCCTAGTTCCCCAACCAGGGCTTGGACCCATGTCCCCTGCATTGGAAGGCAAAGTCTTAACCACCGGACCACTGTAGAAGTCCCAGTAATGATTTTTTTTAATATTTTATTTTGGAGTAATTATAGATTCACAGAAGTTGCAAAAATAGTGTAGAGAAGTCCTGTGGTACCTTCACTGGTTATACCTCAAATAATTGTACTGCAATATCAAAATCAGGAAACTGATATTGGTACAATGTGTGTGCATAATTCTATGTCATTTTATCACATGTGTAGAGTCTTATAACCACCACTGCAATCAAGATGCAGAACTGTTCCACTTTCATGAAGATTTCCCTCATGCTACCCATTTATACTCACAGTCACCCACTTCTTTTCCCAACCATCCCTAACCACTGGCAACCACTAATTTGTCCTCCATCCCCATAATTTTTTCATTTCTAGAAAGCTATATAAAATTAAACCATATAGTATGTGACCTTTTGAGACTGGATTTTTGCACTCAGCATAACGCATTTGAGATCCATCCAGGCTGTTTTGTGTATCAGTGGTTTGTTCCATTTTATTACTGAGAAGTATCCCACGGTATGGATGTTTGTTTAACCATTTACCTATCATGGGACATTGTTTGTTTCCAGTTATGGGCTATTACAAATAAAGTAGCTATGAATAATGATGTACAGTGTTTTGTGTAAATAGCAGTTTTCATTTCTCTTGGATAAATCCTCAGAATTAAGATCTCTGGGCCAAATGGTTATTTCAACTTTAGTTTTATAAGAAACTGCAAAAGTGTTTTCCAGAGAGGCTGTACCATTTTACATTCCCAAGAGCAATGGATGAGAGTTCTGGACTTTAAAACAGAGATGAGTCACTGATGATGATGAATCAGCTGCTGTCTCTGAGTGGGTACAGAACATAGTAATAAGCAATCCGGGAGAAGTAAAAGAAACTAGAAAATTGTGCAGATAACTTAACACAGAGATTCCCATGCTTTAAAAAATTCCGTAAAAAAATCCCTTACCTTCTTTAAACTGTACCCAGCATGGAAAATAATTGGAGGCAACAGAATGTTGAAAAAGACCTCTGGATCAAATGTTACCTAAAAGTTAAAAAAAGCAATTTTTATTTAATACTAACTGGTGCCATATTATTTCCTTAATATTTTAAGCCACTGACTAAAGTTTGTCACCCTGCTTACTTAACTTATATGCAGAGTACATCATGAGAAACGCTGGGCTGGAAGAAGCACAAGCTGGAATCAAGATTGCTGGGAGAAATATCAATAACCTCAGATATGCAGATGACACCACCCTTATGGCAGAATGTGAAGAGGAACTAAAAAGCCTCTTGATGAAAGTGAAAGAGGAGAGTGAAAATGTTGGCTTAAAGCTCAACATTCAGAAAACTAAGATCATGGCGTCTGGTCCTGTCACTTCATGGGAAATAGATGGGGAAACAGTGGCAGACTTTATTTTTTGGGGCTCCAAAATCATTGCAGATGGTGATTTCAGCCATGAAATTAAAGAGGTGGGAGGGGGGATCAGGATGGGGAACACATGTAAATCCATGGATGATTCATGTCAATGTATGGCAAAAACCACTACAATATTGTAAAGTAATTAGCCTCCAACTAATAAAAATAAATGAAAAAAAATTTTTAAAAGACACCTACTCCTTGGAAGGAAAGTTATGACCAACCTAGATAGCATATTAAAAAGCAGAGACGTTACTTTGCCAACAAAGGTCCGTCTGGTCAAGGTTATGGTTATTCCAGTAGTCATGTATGGATGTGAGAGTTGAACTATAAAGAAGGCTGAGTGCCGAAGAATTGATGCTTTTGAACTGTGGTATTAGAGAAGACTCTTGAGAGTCCCTTGGACTGCAAGGAGATCCAACCAGTCCATCCTAAAGGAGATCAGTCCTGGGTGTTCATTGGAAGGACTGATGCTGAACCTGAAACTCCAACACTTTGGCCACCTCATGTGAAAACTTGACTCACTGGAAAAGATCCTGACGCTGGGATGGATTGGGGGCAGGAGGAGAAGGGGACAACAGAGGATGAGATGTCTGGATGGCATCACTGACTCGATGGACATGAGTTTGGGTAAACTCCAGGAGTTGGTGATGGACAGGGAGGCCTGGCATGCTGCGATTCATGGGGTCGCAGAGTCAGACACGACTGAGCGACTGAACTGAACTGAAAGTTTGAATATTTTAAAAAATGACATAAATGTGAAAAATCACACAGGAGAGAAGCCACAGCTCCCATGAACACTGGTCTGTTCTTCTCCATATAGCACTTCTGTGCTCTACTCTTGATGGGTTGTCAAATATGTATTAAGACACAATTCAGTGCAATTTTGATAACTAACAGAAAGCTTCTGGTCAATGTTCTTAAACAAAAAATGAAAACATCTTGATTTTTATTAAACTGTTATAAAAGTTCAACTACAATAAAAGGTGCGGGCATGATTCTTTACTACTTTTCTGCATCCTACCACCTAATGATTTATAGATAAAATTGTAATGAATTTAAGTCTCTTTTGACTGACAGCCATTTGTGATATGTGATGTGGCCTAGACCAAAGTCTCCAGTGGTGTTAATGGCTTCCTGAACATCAACAGAAATTTATCAACTCTTTCAGTTCAGTTGCTCAGTTGTCGTCGACTCTTTGCAACCCCAGGGACTCCAGCACGCCAGGCCTCCCTGTCCATCACCAACTTCAGGAGCTTACTTAAACTTATGTCCATCGAGTCAGTGATGCCATCCAACCATCTCATCCTCTGTCATCCCCTTCTCCCACCTTCAATCTTTCCCAGCATCAGGGTGTTTTCCAATGAGTCGGTTTTTCACATCAGGTGGACAAAGTATTGGAGCTTCAGCTTCAACATCAGTCCTTCCAATGAATATTCAGGACTGATTTCCTTGAGGATGGACTGGTTGGATCTCCTTGCAGTCCAAGGGACTCTCAAGAGTCTTCTCCAACACCACAGTTCAAAAGCATCAATTCTTTGGCACTCAGCTTTCTTTATAGTCCAACTCTCACATCCAAACATGACTACTGGAAAAACCATAGCCTTGACCAGATGGACCTTTGTTGGCAAAGTGATATCTCTGCTTTTTAATATGCTGTCTAGGCTGGTCATAGCTTTTCTTCCTAAGAGTAAGTGTCTTTTAATTTCATGACTGCACTGACCATCTGCAGTGATTTTGGAGCCCAAAAAAATAAAGTCTGTCACTGTTCCCATTGTTTCCCTTTCTATTTGCCATGAAGTGATGGGACTGGATGCCATAATCTTAGTGTTGAATGTTGAGTTTTAAGCCAGCTTTTTCACTCTCCTCTTTCACTTTCATCAAGAGGCTCTTTAGTTCTTCTTCACTTTCTGCCATAAAGGTGGTGTCATCTGCATATCTGAGGTTATTGATATTTCTCCTGGCAATCTTGATTCCGGCTTGTGCTTCTTCAAGCCCAGCATTTCACATGATGTACTCTGCATATAAGTTAAATAAGCAGGGTGACAATATAAAGCCTTGACGTACTCCTTTCCTGATTTGGAATCAGTCTGTTGTTCCATGTCCAGTTCTAACTGTTGCTTCTTGACCTGCACACAGATTTCTCAGGAAGCAGGTAAGGTGGTCTGGTATTCCTATCTCTTTCAGAATTTTCCAGAGTTTGTTGTGATCCACATAGGCAAAGGCTTTGGCATAATCAATAAAGCAGAAGTAGATGTTTTTCTGGAACTCTCTTGCTTTTTCAATGATCCAACCGACGTTGGCAATTTGATTTCTGGTTCCTCTGCCTTTTCTAAATCCAGCTCAATCATCTGGAAGTTCATAGTTCATGTACTAAGGAGACTAAAATTACCTGTAGGTAGTCAGGGAAACTGGGCTTCCCTAGTAGATCAGCTAGTAAGGAATCCACCTGCAATGCAGGAGACCCCAGTTCAATCCCTGGGTTGGGAAGATCCCTTGGAGGAGGGAATGGCAACCCACTCTAGTATTCTCGCCTGGAGAATCTGCATGGATAGAGGAGCCTGGAAGGCTACAGTCCATGCAGTTGCGATGAGTCAGACACAGCTGAGCAACTAAGTGCAGCACAGCACAATCAGGGAAATCAGTGTGAAACTATTAACAAAGTCTTATGACATCCAGAAAAGAATTAAACATTCTATAAAGCCTCCTAACCCTTTTAAAGAATTTCTCATGTTTGTAGATTAACTGGCTCTTATTTCAATTAATTATTTTAAATCTTCATTCTAATTATTAAATCTTTAATAATTAAATATTTAATAATTCTAATTATTAAACTAGCATTTCACTTTAGAAACTGAAACTGTTGATTAGCCTAATTCACAGTATGTTTTAATTCAAATTATGTTTTATTCTATCTTCTTGCTAAAGATAAAAGTAGTCTGAAAAGCAGAGAATATCAGAATGAGAAGGGGCCTTGGACAATATCTATCCAATATGAGGGCACTGGGGCCAAAGAGTTTGTGACTTGCTGAAGTCTCCAAACCCAGAAATGTATGAATCAGCACAAGAGTTCCCTGACACCCATTCTAATACTCTGCATCAACCAAGCTGCCTCAACAGGCCTCTTCTCCCTTCAACGGACAACAATAATCTTAGCTGTGTCTGTTCTCCCACCTTTGCTTTATGTGGGAAAAGTTTAAAAAGGAGGGATCTGAATACACGTTTTTCTAAAGATAACAGAGTAAAAGTCAACTTCATCTTCTATTACGAAACTCAAAGATGGAAATGGGCTGGGGTCCTTCCCCTTTCCCCCACATCCTCTCTAGTATGAAGGACTTGGGTGGCCATTTCAGAACAGTCATTAGTGTGATATTTACACTGGGTATCTTTCTCAGTTGCATTTAATTTCACAAATGTTTTTATGGAAATCCTATGCATTCTTATGAAGGGTTGAAAGCAAAGAGCTCACTAGAATTGCCATTAGGGACAGAGAGATGATGGGCATGTTTAACGTTCCAGGTTGAGAATAATTTTCTTTAAGGATTATGGCAGATCCAGAGAACAATAATTTTCAGAATGCAGGCTGCACTCTATGACCGCAATCACTAATTGCAGTCAATAAATTGGGAAATGTAAATTGTAGAATATGGTAAAAAGAATCATGAAGAACTAAGAATAATTTCTGAACACTGAATATACAAGCTAAAAGAAAAATTAGAAACCAATATTATTTTAAGAAAGAAACAATCTCATCCCTAAACCATAACAAGGATAATAAACATAGTCAAGAAGAGATGGGAGTTGGAGAGAGGAGCTGAATGGGGATGTACAAGCACAGTGCACCACTGGTGGCCCACGTCAGTCTGACAAAGCTAAAAGGCTCAAGTTCAAATCTGGATCCTTCTCTTCATCACAGTCCAAAAGCTTCCTAGCCAAACTGAGAGCCAGGAATGTTACTGATGTTCTAGGAATTTGAAAATATTTCTCTTCACAAGGTCAAGACAGAATTGGAAAATCAAATACCACATCAGTTGTTTTTAATTAAGTAAAGCAGTAAGAGTTTTGCATTAAAAAACAAAGACCATGTCAGGACCACAACAGCTCACCTTCCTCAGCATGTCGTTCTGCTCTACACTGTTGACCTTGCCAGGGCTGATTTCTCCTTTCAGGGTGTATTCAAAGAACTTTCCACTGACATTCACTAATAAGGTGCTGAAGGCCCTGTCTTCCTGAGTGCAGCTGAGTGACTTGTCATGACCACTGGTGGCAGTGGTGCCATACCTCAGGATCACCCCGACGATGAGCCCTGAAACACAGTGGAAGAAAACATCAGGCCTGTGGAAGGACAGAGAGATTATTTTTTGGAGGCCAAGGAGAGGGTGTGTATTTTAGGAACAACTCTACAGTCCTTCAGGAGGATTAGGCATCCATCTACTCTGGTTTGGGTCCCTCAGCCACCAGAAGGACAAGGTAGGCCAGTACCTTTCAGGGTTATGATGGCGCTCTTAGTATTTGGAACCACTGATAGTATCTCACATCTCAGGATTTTGTGGGAGGAAGATGGGTGATAAGAGGCAAAGTGTTTTCTGCCCAGCAGAACCACTGAGCTCTTTGATTTCTACCAGCAGCATCCCTTAGGCCATCCACCAGCAAGGACAAGACCTCGAGAATTTCTAGTTGCTACAAAAGCAACTTATTTTGCCACACACCAGAAGAAGGGAAGAAGAGAAAAGAAAGGCTTTTGCTTAGGTCATTTCAAGTACTGGATATCATGGAGAAAATAATTATATCCCTTAGGGAGCCAAACACCACAGTGTAAATTTTCAGTCATGATTCAGGAACTGGAGACCTGGATTCTTGGGGCTGCAGCACTGACACAACTAGCATAATTAGCTGCAAGTCTTTCCATCACATTCTGTTCTTAGTAGGGTTTTCCCTTTAGGAGGAAAAAAACAGCAAAACTGTGTGTAAGCATTTAATCCCATGAGTTATAAAGAAATGTTGCTCCCCTGGTCCTGGACATGAGTCACACATGCCCAAGTAAAAGTGAGTGAAATGTGGGAAAAAAAAACACAAATAACCACAAGACACTTTCTATAATTCTCTCTTAGGAGGAAAATTTCAGATTTCTCTTTAAATTCAGTTCTTTGTTAGAAATATTAAGAGAGAGAATGGTACAATGCTCTTCCCACCTCATTTTGCCATTAAAGGAGAAAGTTATATAAGAAAAAGAACAATGTTTACCATGTCCCATGTATAATGTGCTTCCCTGGTGGTAAAGAGTGCTTCAGATGGTAAAGAGTCTGCCTGTAGTGCACAAGACCCGGGTTTGATCCCTGGGTCAGGAAGATCCCCTGGAGAAGGAAATGGCAACCCACTCCAGTATTCTTGCCCAGAAAATCCCATGGACAGAGGAGCCCAGTGGACTACACTTCATGGGATCGCAAAGAGTCGGACACAGCTGAGCAACTTCACTTCACTTCACTTCATGTATAATGTTCTACAATGTCTCTTATCACCAAGACATATAAGAACTCACAGGACATCGTTGAAGAACAAATAATATATAAAATCCAGAAAGATAGAGTTCTTTAAGTCACACTCTGTGATTTGTGTCTATTGTTTTATTATTGCTACAATGTCTCTTATCACCAAGACATATAAGAACTCACAGGACATCGTTGAAGAACAAATAATATATAAAATCCAGAAAGATAGAGTTCTTTAAGTCACACTCTGTGATTTGTGTCTATTGTTTTATTATTGCTCTTTTTATTATTAATATTAAAGACTTGTTCTAACATACTTGAACTTTGTGAAAAAACTAAGTTGTAAATTTTTACTGCAAATTTAAAATGAGGTTCTTAAAAATCTCAGCTTGAGACCTTGGTCTACCGTCCAGAAGGTACACACATGGTGTACATTTGGCAGCCAAACAGACTGGAATCCTGGGCAATCTTTTTGTCCAGCTTGGCTGTGCCAACTCTCAGGAAAACTTGTCATTAAGAGCTGTCCATAATGGGCCTCTGTCATCTTCACTTTCATTGTGTCCACCAGTACAACCAAGGTCCTTTATTTTCTTAAACTATTTTGGGGAGTAAACCTTCTAGATTTTGTGAAGGTTGCATCCTCTCTACTCTCTTGTGCAGGAGGCTCTTGCATGTTTTTGGTGTGAGTCACTATTAAGGTATATCTCATCAATGGCCAGAGGATGGATTCTTTAAACTGGTGAAATTTCTAAATTGGCAATTTTTTAGTTCTCATTATACACAGCCATTTTATTGGTACCTATGAAAAACAAATTAGATCATGGATAAAAAACATTAGATTGTTGATTAGGTTGATTGATTAACAGGAAAATAAGAACCTAAGAAAAACTATATAGATTTCTTTATAAGAAAGTGAAAATTTTAAAGGGACTCATCCCAAAAGGATAAAAGTCTTTAGATAGTTATCAAGAAATAAGGTAAAGAAAATAGATATTAATGGGATTAAAACAAAATGTTTTGATACAAAACTACTGTGGAGCTCTATATTGAGGTCACAGGACAAAAATCTCTGGAATTGACCAAGCCCCATAGCAACTGTCACCATGAGCCCTCCTGACCTAAATTTAAATTAGCCTGTTCCCTGACTTCATATTAGGTAAAATAGTCACCATATAGCTTTCTGACCAATCACCTAATGCCACCCTTCCAGCAGGAATTTTCTTCATCTTGAGGCTATAAAATTGACCACTAGCCTGTGAAATGGGTCAGCTCTCCCTGGTCTGTCAGGAAGTCAGCTGCTATGTTTGCAGCACCCTTCACTATCTTCGTTCTTTGTTCTCAATAAACTCACTCTCTTCTGAAATACTTTGTGTCTGGAAATTTTTTTCTAAGCCACACACAGACCACAACAACTATCTAAGGTTGGATGGGCCAGAAGGACCCCCCATACTGATCCCCAACATTAAAGGGCCCCAAACAGTTCAGTTCAGTCACTCGGTCATGTCCGACTCTTTGCGACCCCACAGACTGCAGCACACCAGGCTTCCCTGTCCATCACCAACTCCCGGAGCTTTCTCAAACTCAAGTCCTTCGAGTCAGCGATGCCATCCAACCATCTCATCCTCTGTCGTCCCCTTCTCCTCCTGCCTTCAATCTTTCCCAACATCAGGGTCTTTTCCAATGAGTCAGTGCTTCGCATCAGGTGACCAAAGTATTGTAGCTTCAGCTTCAGCATCAGTCCTTCCAATACACACACACACACACACACACACACACACAGGCACATACATGCTTTTAACCCAACTGTAAGTCAATTTTTACCCAATGTGTAACCAGGCCTCTGACAAAATTAATGATGGCTACACATCTTGACTAGACCATTCAGGTCTAGATGGCTACACTAGACCATTCAGGTATGACCTAAATCAAATCCCTTATGAATATACAGTGGAAGTGAGAAATAGATTTAAGGGACTAGATCTGATAGACAGAGAGCCTGATGAACTATGGACAGAGGTTCGTGACATTGTACAGGAGACAGGGATCAAGACCATCCCCATGGAAAAGAAAGGCAAAATGGTTGTCTGAGGAGGCCTTACAAATAGCTGTGAAATGAAGAGAAGCAAAAAGCAAAGGAGAAAAGGAAAGATATTCCCATTTGAATGCAGAGTTCCAAAGAATAGCAAGGAGATATAAGAAAGCCTTCCTCAGCGATGAATGCAAAGAAATAGAGGAAAACAACAGAATGGGAAAGACTAGAGATCTCTTCAAGAAAATTAGAGATACCAAGGGAACATTTCATGCAAAGATGGGCTCAATAAAGGACAGAAATGGTATGGACCTATCAGAAGCAGAAGATATTAAGAAGAGATGGCAAGAATACACAGAAGAACTGTACAAAAAAGATCTTCAAGACCCAGATAATCACAATGGTGTGATCACTCACCTAGAGCCAGACATCCTGGAATTTGAAGTCAAGTGGGCCTTACTACGAACAAAGCTAGTAGAGGTGATGGAATTCCAGTTGAGCTATTTCAAATCCTGAAAGATGATGCTGTGAAAGTGCTGCACTCAATATGCCAGCAAATTTTGAAAACTCAGCAGTGGCCACAGGACTGGAAAAGGTCAGTTTTCATTCCAATCCCTAAGAAAGGCAATGCCAAAGAATGCTCAAACTACCGCACAATTGCACTCATCTCACACGCTAGTAAAGTAATGCTCAAAATTCTCCAAGCCAGGTTTTAGCAATACGTGAACTGAGAACTTCCATATGTCCAAAAGGCAGAGGAACCAGAGATCAAATTGCCAATATCCGTTGGATCACTGAAAAAGCAAGAGAGTTCCAGAAAAACATATATTTCTGCTTTATTGACTACACCAAAGCCTTCGACTGTGTGGATCACAATAAACTGGAAAATTCTGAAGGAGATGGGAATACCAGACCACCTGACCTGCCTCTTGAGAAACCTATATGCAGGTCAGGAAGCAACAGTTAGAACTGGACATGGAACAATAGACTGGTCCCAAATAGGAAAAGGAGTGTGTCAAGGCTGTATATTGTCACCCTGTTTATTTAACTTATATGCAGAGTACATCATGAGAAACGCTGGGCTGGAAGAAGCACAAGCTGGAATTAAGATTGCCAGGAGAAATATCAATAATCTCAGATATGCAGATGACACCACCCTTATGGCAGAAAGTGAAGAGGAACTAAAAAGCCTCTTGATGAAAGTGAAAGAGGAGAGTAAAAAAGTTGGCTTAAAGCTCAACATTCAGAAAACTAAGATCATGGTATCTGGTCCCATCACCTCATGGGAAAAAGATGGGGAGACAGTGGAAACAGTGTCAGACTTTATTTTGGGGGCTCCAAAATCACTGCAGATGGTGACTGCAGCCATGAAATTAAAAGGTGCTTGGAAGAAAAGTTATGACCAACCTAGACAGCATATTAAAAAAGAGACATAACTTTCCCAACAAAGGTCTGTCTGGTCAAGGCTATGGTTTTTCCAGTGGTCATGTATAGATGTGAGAGTTGGACTGTGAAGAAAGCTGAGCACTGAAAAATAAATGCTTTTGAACTGTGGTATTGGAGAAGACTCTTGAGAGTCCCTTGGACTGCAAGGAGATCCAACCAGTCCATCCTGAAGATCAGTCCTGGGTGTTCACTGGAAGGACGATGCTGAAGCTGAAACTCCAATACTTTCGCCACCTCATGCAAAGAGTTAACTCATTGGAAAAGACTCTGATGCTGGGAGGGATTGCGGGCAGGAGGAGAAGGGGATGACAGAGGATGAGATGGCTGGATGGCATCACTGAC